AAAAACTATAATAGTACACAGGATCCTAATGAGATAATTAATAATGTGAAATAGGAAGTAAAGGGCTAAAGGTGTAGGGAAAGTGGGAAGGGTGGGGGAAAGGTAATAAGGGAGAGGAAAAAAATATGAGAAACTGAAAAAATGGAAATAAAGTGTTTGTAAATGGGGAGGGGAGGAGGGGGTGAAGGGAGGGCAGGGACAAGGGGAAAAAATGAGAATCAAGACCTATTATGTAAAGGTTCAGAATCCCAATGATGAATGTAATTGTATTGTATACCTACATTGTACCAATAAACTCAATAAAAAGAAAAAAAAAAAAAGAATAATCATCAGAGCTGGGAGTGGTGGCACTTGCCTATAATGCCAGCACTCTGGTAGGCTGACGCAGGCTCGAGTTTGAGCATAGCTTTGGCAACCTTAATGAGACCTGCCTCAAAATAAAAAATAAAGACTGGGAATGTAACTCAGTACAAAGGCCCAATATCAATCTCCAATGTCTACCTACCTATCATAATCTAAATAAATAAATACATATTTAGGTGTATTCATAGTTACAAGCAGTTACATGGTTATGTTTGTAAGGAGTCCTAACTTTAGTAAGGAGAATGACAAACTGCAATAATACAGAAATAATTTCTGCAATTATCTGAATAAATCTCACAAACATTCACTTGAATGAAAAAGACCCGCAAGAATACTTTCTACGTGTATCTATTTATACAAAGGCAAAACTAGTCTTTTTCATAAGCCTTACTGCTTGAAGGTGATGAAATGAAACAGTATAATGCCTAGGATTTTCTTCAAAATAATCCAGTATGAAAGGCAGAAGGGTAGGTTAGGACCTGTTCACTGAAGCTTGTCAGTAATGGTTCACTATAGTATTCACTCCATTTCCATAATGATAACTCCACTAAGGGATCTAAGCTGTTAATAAAAAGTTGTTACTGTGCTGGTTTTTGCTGTGCAAAAAACAGTGAGCTCAAGATTCAAGTTTCTATGTTCCTATTTCACAATCTGAGTCCTTACGCAAAGGCTAAAGAATTAAAAATGTGGCTGAGACTGAAACCTTAGATTCATGGCTGAGGTCTTATAACCAAAGACAGATTAATAAGAGAAAAGCATATAAATCCATTTAATATAAGTTTTACATGTCATGGAAGCCTTCATAAGGGAATTTGAACCTGAGAAAGTTGCAGCCCAGGACTTTTACACTAGGGTTAGGAGCAGAGCCGTAGAGAATCCCACAGGACAGAGTGTGCTCTGTGGTGCTAAACTGAGAGGATTCAGCACGGCCAGTGCATGCAAACCCCTCTCTGTGTCACTGCATCCTCAGAGATGAAGATGCTCCTTTCCTTGGGGAGAGGGAAAGCACCTCTCTCCTGAGGATCTGTCACTTGCATGGGACAGGCTCAGAAAGTACCTCCTAGGTTTGATCCCCTGGTTCACAGGAGGGTATTAAAGGGTCAGAATGACCTTCCACATTAGCATTTTCTCAAAGCCTTCACTTTTCTTCTTTGCATTGTTTCCTACACAGCTTCTCAGTTACTGTCCAGTGGACTCTGAGGAGTTGTAGGAATATGCAGGTGCAGACACAACACCCAGCTTCATCTCCAGTGATGCAGGAGACTGTACGTCATGAGGTAGAGTCTTATGCTCCCCTACATCACTTGAACAGAGCCCAGAGAAAGTGACCTTCTGGGGTATCCATATTGGAACGAATCCTTTACTTTAAAGGGTTTTGTGGCTGGGCCGGGGATTTAGCTCAGTGGTTCCGCTGCCTACCTTGCAAGCCCAAGGACCAGAGTTTGATCCCCGGTATCACAAAAACGGGTTTTGTGGTATCATGTCCTAAACCCCTTCATGGTGAGAGATCCAGAAAATCCTTTGTGAACAAAGGACTGCCCAGGCAATGTGTTCAGAAGGTCACTGGGCAGATGGAGGCAGCCCTGGCAGGACTCTGGGAACAGAGTAGGGAGCTTTCTGGGACAGTGGTTAAAACTGAAAGGATCACTAGGTGAGGTGTGCTGGTGATGAGTGAGAAGACTTGGGGCCCATAACTGCAGCAGACTTCACTGTTGGGACAGAAGGAACCACAGAGGGAGTTTAAGCAGGTGAGTGAAACAATCAGACTTTCATTTTAAAATAATCACATCAGCTCCAGTGCTTGGACGGAACAGATGGGGCAAGATTCAGAGAAGTAGAGTGTTCAGTTCAGAGTAATTGGCAGAGCTGGGGAAAGGGCTGGTGCAGGCAATGGGACAGCAGTGAGGGCAGATTTGAGGGCCAGGTAAGAAACAGCTTCACAGCCTCAGGGTAAAGGATCGAAGTACATATGGCAAGGACACCGGCAAATACCAAACAATACAAAAGTGCAGGGCTAAAGTTCAAAATGATAAAGGATATTTCTGGTTGGCTACAAGTGGTGCCATGGAGCACTGACTGAGGAGGCTGGGAGCCAGACAAAGAAAGGTCAGATCTCAACATTTCAAAGGACAGCAGGGCCTGCCCCATGTGATACCATGAGAAGCCTTTCTGGCCCCTGCAGGTTTATTTATGAAGCTGAGTTAGACCATTCTGTGGCTAGAGTGATGGAAAATACAGGTGGGCAAAAAAAAGAAGATGAAAAGCAGAACTGGCTTACAATCTGTGCATCACCCAAATGGGCTGACCATGGAGCATGAAGCTAAGCACAGGGAGAGGACAACAGAGGAAGCCTAGGCAAGGTGGAAAAGGAGTGGCCAGATATCCCCAGGGTACCTCTTCTCAGCAGCACAGAGATGATTTTCAAAGACAGCTCAAGTCCACAAAGATAAAAGCCTTAAAATTGAAATGCAAATGAGAGCCATGCCAGAAAAGTCAGCGTGTCTCCTAAACCTCTATGACAAGAAAGATACTCTCCTGGGAGACACAGGCCATCCCTCAGGAGCTGCAGGCAGGGGAATGACCTAGCCCAGGTGGGCCTCCAGCCACCAAAGTGTCCCCAGAGTGCTCATGTTCCTCCTCTGGTAGGAGCCAAGATTTCAAAGGCCTAGCAAAAACACTCATTTACAATGGTCAAGATATGGGAACGTGGCTAGGGATTTAGTTCAATGACACAGAGCCTGCCAGGCAAGTGCAAAGTCCTGAGTTCGATCCCCAATACCAAAATAAAAAAGATATGGGAACAGTGTGTTGACAAAAGAATGGATACAGAAAATGTGGCATTAAGAACAATGGAATACTATTCAGCCATAACAAATGATGAAAACCTGCCATCTATGACAACATAGATAAATCTGGATAACACCATCTGCCACTTATATGTGGAATCTAAAATAGCCAAGCTCACAGAAGCAGAGAGTACAGCAGTGTTTGCTTGGAGCTGGGAAGGGGAGGAAAAGGGCAGATGCTGATTAAAAGGTACAGAATTTCAGTTATGAGTAACCTCTGGGATCTAACATACAGATTGATGACAACAGTTAATAATACCATGTTGTTAGCCATGACTTGGTATCCAACTACCCAACAGAAGAACAGATAGAGAAACTATGGTTACATCTGCATAATGAAATACTACTCAGCCATTAATAAGAATGAAACCTTATCATTTGAGACAACATGGATAAGCTTGAAGAACATTATACTGAGTGAAATACACCAGAAACAGAAAGACAAATATTACAAGACCTTCATATATGGCATCTAAAATTTGATCTAACAGAAAGAGCAGAACAGTAGTTCCCAGAAACTTGGAAGGGGTCAAGTAGAAGGAGATAAACAGGTAAAAAGTCACACTTAGGAAGGAGGACGAAGCCCTGGTTACAGAGGGTAACTACAGTTAACAGCAGGGTGCCAGATATTTCAACCTATCTAGAAGAGAAGTTTTTGAATGTTCTCACCACAGAATGATAAATGTACAAGGTGATGGATACACTCCCTTGAATTAATATTTAAAGTATACACATTCTCTAACAAATTATATTCACAAGTATGTACAATTAACAAGACTCAACTAAAAATATTGTATTATGGACTGTTTTCCAAAGGCCTTGATCTTAAATGTTCTCTTACACACTTCACAAATGGTAACTGTGAAGTGATGATGTGTTAGGTAGCTTGACTGTGGCACTCCTTCACAGGGTATATGACATCAAATCATCAAGTTGCATACTTTGAATATTCACAATTTTTGCCAATTTTACTTCCAATAAAGTGGTAAAACATGACACACTGACCCTTGACCACCAATGAGGCTGTACAGGGCCCACAAGGGGCCAGCGCTGGGCTGAACCCTGCGAGTGCATGTGCTAATTCTGCTTATCACACGCTAACACAGGAACACTTCAATCACCTTCACAATGCACTGTTTGGAAGACAAGTCTCTCAAAGACTAAGAATAAAAAAACAATGATGAAACTGCCTGGGATGACACAAATTAGGAATTCTATACCTAAAGGACGTTAAGTCACAATTCCCGCAGTTCTTGGTATTTCAGGTGTCCCTGACCTACTTCTTTAGACCAATTTCTTAAAACTGCCACCTTCTCTTTATGTCGCCTTAGGAAAATCATTTCTGCTCCCCAAAGATAGGCTGATTCATCTACAGAACGAGAGGGGGGGGGGTCGGTGATTTCAGTCTGTTATCCCACAGACCCATAATTGCCCAAGGGCTTACTGGGGTCAGACAACACCATGTTCTGTCTTTCTGAACAAATGGTATGGGAACTCACTGGTGTGGGCTCAGGGATTACACAGCTATCTCACAGAAGATTCACTAATCTTTAACCCCCTTCACTGAAAACAAGTGAGGTAAGGACAAGAGATAGCATGGGGCATGCTGGCCTATTACGGCCCAAAATTTTAAATTGTTCTGTCATGGCAAATGCCAAGGTGTACCAGAGTACAGAGAGTGGAGCAATGAGCCCATGTGTTCCCACTAACCAGCTTCAAGGACAGTCACAACTGGCCACTTCTCTCTGCCTCCACCCCCAACTAACACTGCACTCATATCCATCTAGGAAGCAAAACAGACATCTTAGCATTTCATTCTTGAAATTTGTGAGTGTCTAAAAGAAACCTTTCATAAATATGACCATAATATCATGATACCTAAAATTGTAGCAAAATTTGTTATGTTACATCTACTCATTTATGTCCCCAAGAATCAGCCAGATATTCTTGGGTTCAAGACAACCTCCCTCTTCTCATTAGGACCAAGAGGGAAGCATCCATGAGCATCTAAGAACAGACATTAGTCCTTATTTTCTTCAAGTGATAAGAATGATATACTTGTAATCAGAAGAGGAAGGTCAAATTCAGCAATTCTAGTTTTACACGAGGAAAAGAAAGATAGGATAGCAAAGGTAGACTAGTAAGTAACTGCACTTCCTGTGCCTGGCCTAGTTTTAACAAATTCCCACCAGCTTGAACCATCAGTGGTCCACATATGACTCTCCCATCAGGCAGCTTGTACCACTGGTGGTACAAACAGATCTGTTTTTATCAGTCTTTTTACTAATAAAATTAATAAAAAGCCACCCATTGGGACAGTCATGCATGGACCACTGGTGGTTCAAGTAACCTGGCACCAAGACATATGAATTATGACCCCATTGTGCCTATGTTAATCCTTGCACCAGTCATTGAGGGGTTGTCTTTCCCCTTCCAAGTGTGGGGAGCCAAGCTTGGCAAAATCAGCAGCCTGCCTGAGGTCTCACAGGTCACGGGGCTGAGGTTGACACACAGTCTGTCTCACTGCAGAGCTCACATCTTACTTCTCTGCCCACACTGATGTCGAAGAGGGGGAGGAGAGGCTGCCCCTGGGTATCCCTCCGACGCCAAGCCTGTCCACCCTGGCCAGGTACCAGGCCATAGCACACTCCTAAGCTCTTCTGCTACCTCTTCCCTCTCTCCCCATGACTCCAAGGCAGAGAGGGACCCTCTATAATGTGTTCCTTGGGGCAACATGATGGAGGGGCCTTCAGCATCCTTAGGAAGTGGCACTCACCAAACTGGCCATCCTGTTTCACATATAACTCGATGATGCCATAGGCGATGGTGGTGGCAGCCGGGATCTCCAGCAGCACACTGGTGTCCTTGATGACATTCCCGTCCTCCATCGCTGACACCTGTGGATGAGAGCACACACTCCCACCTGGGCACTCACACCTTCCTTGGTCCTTTCTGCTTCCCCACTGTGTCCAGCCTCTGCTTTGTACATAAGGACGCTGAGGACATGGCCACGAAACTGAGGAGGAAAGAGGAGCCAAGTGGCACAAGTAAAGATTTTATTCCTATTGGCATCAGGATGTGTTACACACAGCCAGTGGCCAACCTTGTGGCATAAAGGTGAGATTCCAGAGAGCGGGATACAGGGAGGTTAGGTGCTCAGTGCGACGTAAAGGTAAGCGATGCACCACTTAATTACATTTCAGTCAACAACAGACCACATAAATCAGAGGTCTGACGCCATCATAATTACAGCCAAAAAATTCCTGTCACCTAGTGACTTCACACCCATCTCAATATGGTGGTGCAATGCATCACTCGTGCTTGCGGTGACACTGGTGTAAACAAACCTACTGCAATGCACCATCGAAAAACCATGTACAGTACAGAAAGCTTCATGATGACAATTACTGTTACTGGTTCATATATTTACTACTCCTACTTATAAAAAATATACATTGAAACAGCAATGGCGTGTCACTTTGGCAGCAACCTCATCCATCCTCTCTGGGAGTCTCTTGACAACATCAAGAAGCCATGTCAAGTGACTGACCTCGACCATTTAGGTCTGTAGAAGCACATGAGGTGGGAGGTGTTTGTACAACAACAAAACCACCCAATGATGCATTTCTCAGAACACAGTTAAGTGATGCATGACTATAAGATAAATAATCAGCAATTATCAGGAATCATTATCAGAAATAGTCAGAAATTTCAATTTCTTTCATGTAGGAAAACAACTTGGAAATCCTAATAGAAATCCAAAAAGGGCTTGATGCTTGACTAGGCAAACCTGGCTAAATCATTCCAATCCCAGTGGATGGGGTTCTGGGCTGGTAAACAAACTAGGAAGAAACAGTGAATCCAGGAGAGGCTAGAGTGAGGAGTAGCTGGTCCTAGAAGGGCAGGTAGGAAAGGCTGGGAAGTTAGACACCAAGTTTCTCCTTCAAACACTGGTAAATACAAGCCCTTCCTGCCAGTTGGGATGGCAGTCTTAGCTCCAGACTACATCTACACAAACTTCCTGGCTTGTCCAGAAAAAGCCCAAAAGTACATGAGAAGGAAGTCTCTAGGAAAATATGAGGCACAGTCTCTTGAAAAATGGCAGACTAGTGATCAGCAGCAAAATTCAGCCTGAGTTCTGGAATCCAGACACATAGAAAATAACAACTTGGTGAAGAGGGGAAGAAAGAAGCATATGAATGGGAATCAGAAAGGAAAATCAGAGAAGCTGGTGAGATGGACCATGGTGCTGAGAGAAGAATGCAGCAAAGCAGTCTGGAAGCTGAGCCCAATGGAAGCCACCACCGCAAACACAAGGTGAGCATCAGGAAGGAACAGTGGACCAGGCCGAAGGACCAGGCCTTAGGAGCAGCCCAGGTTTGGATCCAAGATGACTTCTTCCTCTTTGGGCAACACCAAAGAGGGAATCCAGTCTGGAGCCGGCACATTGCCACAGAGTGTTTACTCGGGTGACATTTCAGGAAGGGGTTGATTACGTACGTCTGGGATCAGAACAACTAAAAGACAATTTCACTTTAAGGTTCCCAGTTTAAGTCTCTCATAATATCTAGGAGACAGATAGTCCCAGGAGTCAGCTGTGGACAAGAAACAGGCTACACAGAGAACCCTTAATAGTTCCAGGCTCAGGCCAGGAAGGACACAGGTCCCTACTGTGGGTGGTGAGAAGCCTGACCAGGCTTGTGCTGTGTATAAGAACAGATGGGTTGGAAAGCACTGCATTAAGTTGTAAATCCTTGCTCTGCTGCCTACAACCAGCAGATCTGAAGTCTGACTGCTTTCACATCTATCAAGATGAGCAAGGACAAATTAATAAATGTAATGCAGTTACCTCACATGAATAGAGGCAAGGACAAAAAAAAAAAAATCACATGATCATCTCAACTGATGCAGAAAAGGCCTCTAATAAAATTCAACATCCATTTAAGATTAAAAACCCTGAAGAAATAGGCTTTTATTTCAATCTGACAAAAGCCATTTATGCAAACCAATGTCCAACATTATACTAAATGAGGAGAAGCTGAAAGATTTCCCTCTAAAATCAGGAACAAGAAAAAGATGCCTATTACTACCACTCCTCTTCAACATAGTTCTCAAAACATTAGCCAGAGCAATCAGGCAAGAGAAAGAAATAAAAGATATATATGGGAAAGGAAAAAAGTTGAATTATCATTATTTGCAGATGACATGATCCTCTACATAGAGAACCCCAAAATATCCACCTGAAGACTCCTAGAATTATCAAATTCAGTAATGCAGTTACATACAAAGTCAATGCTAAAAAATCAATAGCATTACTATACACCAATAACAAACACACCAACAAAGAAATGAGGGAAACTGCCATTTACAACTTCATTAAGGAAAATTAAATACTTAGGAATTAACCCAACCAAAGAAGTGAAGGACCTCTATAATGACATTCTGAAAAAGGAGATCAGAAAGGACATCAAAAAATGGAAAGGTACCCCCCGTTCCAGGATAGGCAAAACCAATATCATGAAGTAGCCATACTTAAAATACTGATGTACCAATTTAACACAATCCTAATCAAAACACCAACAGTATTCCTCATAGAACTAGAGAAAGCAATCCTAAAATTCCTAAGGAACCAGAAGAGGGAATGGGGAAAGCAATCCTGGGCAATAAGAGCAAAGCAGGAGGCATCACAATCCCAGACTTGAAGTTCTACTACAAAGGTACAGTGATTAAAGCAGCATGATATCGGCAAAACAAAACAAAAAAACAAAAAATGTGGCTCGATGGAATAGAACAGAAATGCTGAAACAACCCCAAGCACATTCAGCTACCTGATCTTTGACAAAAGGGCCAAAAATGTACTCTGGTAGAAAGATGGCCTCTTTGACAAAGGGTCCTGGGAAAATCGGCTACCCACAGGCAAAAGATTGAATCTACATCCATGTCTCTCTCCATGTACGAAACTAAAATCAAAATAGATCAAATGTCTAAATGTTACACAAACATTGAATATGCTGGAAGATAAAATAGGTAAAATTCTTTAAAGACACAAGCAAGGTCTTTCTGAACAGAACCTCAATTGCGCAAGAAATAACACCAACAACAAACAAATGGGATCAAACCAAATTAAAAAGCTTCTGCACTGCAAAGAAAACTACTCACAGAGTGAAAGACAATCTACAGAGGGGGAAAAAAAAACTTGCCAGCTATTTTTTGGACAGAGCACTAATATCTACGATATATAAAGAACTCACAAAATAAAATCCCTCCCAAAATTAAGACTCAATCAAAAACTGTGCATCTTAAATTAAATAGACACCTCTCAGAAGAAGTACAAATGGCCAATAAATATATGAAAAAAATGTTCAACATTTCTGGCCAATAAAGAAATGCAAATTTTAAAAAATTGAGGGGCCGGTGATTTAGCTCATTGGTTCTGCCACCTGCCTTGCAAGCGCAAGGACCCAAGTTCGATCCCTGGTACCAAAAACAAACAAATAACAACAACAAAACCAACATTGAGATTCCATCTTCAGAAAGAATGGCTATCATCAAGAAATCAAATAATAACAAATGCTGGTGAGACTGAGGAAAAAGGAATCCTTCTATATTGTTGGTGAAAATGTAAACTAGTATACTCATTTTGGAAATCAACATGGAGAATCATTAAAAAACTAAAACCAGAAATTCCATTTGACTCAGCTATTCCCTTTCTAGGCCCTTGAGATTGCAGCAGATCTGATGAAAGCCTGGAGCTGCCTGCACCTGCAAGAGAGTCTATCTGAGGGGTTAACCTCTGTTAAGGAAGGCAGCCCACAACATCCTTGAGTCCTGGATCCAGCAGTGACTAAAGGCAGATTGCCCTAAATGTCTTTGTTGCACAAGCCAATAAATTCATGTCCCTTAAGCCAATTTGAGTTGTTTTTCTGTTAATGCATTATAATAAAGAAAGAGTTCTAATGAAGACACCACCCAAGGCCCCAGACCAAAGTCTCCAAGGCTAGGACAGGACTGGCTGCGGAGGGCTTGACTTGTCCACGCCGGCCGTACACACCTGCACTATCTTGGTTTGGATTCCCACCATGCCGCCACACTTCTCCTCAATCTGAACGTGCTCCGATATCACACACTTCTGCGTTGTCACAATCTTCTGCGTCAGGACACACAGGACCTCATTCCTCCTCTCCAGCACCTGATGGAGTATGGGGTTTTTCAGGTTTATTGTTCTGAAAAACAAAAATGGCCATGAGTGGCCCAGTGTCTTCAGGGATATGGATGCAGTAGGAATTTCTCCTCTTACACAGCTGGTGGCTGGGAAGGGATTGATTAGGTGACAATGAGTTTGTTGATTTCCTGGAGATGGAAGAGAAGATAGGTCACCCCAAAAGGTGTCAACGAAACTCTCCTGAGGCCACAGCAGATCAGCTCCCCTCAGGCTGTACACCAGAGGGAAGAGGACTCTCCATCAAACAAAGCACTGGTTCCAAGGAAGAAGAAAAGAAATCTATCCCCCTGGGGAACACCAACCCATCTGCCTTGGACCAGGAGAGGGCTGAGGAGAGACAGATAGCACAGCTGGAACCAGGAAGCACAGGGACATTACTGGGGGGGTGAGGGTGAGGGACCCAGCTTCAACCACAAGTACCCAGGAGGAAATTGGATCTGAATTAAAAAGGAGTTTCTTAACCTGACAGTAAGAAAAATGTGTAACCTCTAAAAAGGGATTTAATATCACTTCATGCATGGAGAAACTCTCAGGCCAGTCTGGAGTGGACCACCCTGGGTCACGCAGCAGAGACCTAGGGCCTCCCCGACCCATCCCCAGCCAGGAGAAATTCAGCAGCATTTCAAGAACAGGCTACATTTCTACTTGCAGGGAATGATCTTGTGCTTAGAAGCAAATGATGAAATAAGCTCTTTGGAGTCTCATTCATTGCTACATATAGGCAGTGAGCCAGAAAAGAACCCAATGAGAGGTGGAGTCAGCACAGGATGAGTAAGTGTTCGTCCAGGGCTCTTTAGCAGTTCAAGGTGAATGACCTCATGAATCTCAGCACCGGTTCCAAACCATACCCAGGGGCAGGACACCCACTTCAGGCACACTCAGATTCTCCAGGCTTGGGGATGTGTTCCCCCAGCTGGAAGAAGTCTCTGGGAAGGCGCATTTCAATGTACTGACCTGCCTGGGGTGGACGCGGGGCCTATACATGAATGGCACCAAAAGTGTGGCTCACCCCAGAGTGGGAAACCATTTGGCCATAGAAAGGAATGAGATTTTGACACATTCTACAACACATATGAGCTTTAAAGACATTATATTAAGTGACAGTCCACAAAAGGACAAATAATGTACAATCCCACATGCCTGAAATAGTAGCGACAGAACGAAGACTGGAGGTTATCAGGGGTTGGGGCGTGAAGAAATGGAGAATAATTAATTGCTTAATGGCTACAGAGTTCTGATTTGAGGTGGTAAAGTAGTGCTAGAAATGGATATGATAACAGCATGAATATACTCAATACCATTAATATACTTAATATTTTATACTTAAAATATTTTAGATTTTGTATATATTTTATCACAATAAAAAAGGAAAGAAATTTTAAAACTGGGTATAGGCAATGAGCATATGCCCAGAGGAGTTAAGGGCCATACAAGCACACCAGACACTTTCCCATGTTTGTCATGAGACACAGGGAGCAAAGCCACTGCTAGTATACATCGTGGGAATTGTGAGCCATTTAACAAGGTCAGAGGGATGTCTTCACATCACTCCCTTGTTTAAAGCTTTCGGTGGCTACATCCTGTCCCAACCACTTACCCAGGCTGCAGCCCCCACAATCTGCTCCTGCTTCCTGCCTCCTTCCCCAAGCCTCACCTGCCAGCATCCTCTCTGTGCCTTAAGCACACAAGGCGCGCACACAGAGCCACAGCCTACACATCTCATAGCTGCAATCTGTCACTTCTGGAAGGTGCCCCTCGCACACTCTCCACACAGTGGCAACACTGTCACACCTATCGCAGCCTAATACTTCTCTAGAAAGTGTATTTCCACACCAATACTTTTTAGCTCATTCCTTTACTTGATCATTGCCTAGAATATAAGTTTCATGGAGGCTGGGGACCATGCGTGGGTACTGCATCAGCACCTGGTGCACAGGAAAGGACTTGATAAGCATTTTTTAGAATAACTGAATACAAAAAACATACGGCCTCTTTATCCCTTTTTGTCTATTGCTTCAATGAATGTTTACGAGTGTGCAGATGTACCTGAGTGAAAGAGACACAACATACAGAAAGGGGGAAAGGAGAGCTAGCATTTTGGCTTAAAGAATGGTAAGTAAGCCAGGTGTGGTGGTGCTTGCCTATAATCCCAACATTTGGAAGGCTGAGGCAGGAGGACTGCCATGAATACAAGGCTAGCCTGGGCTACATAGTTCAAGGCCAGCCTGAACTATAGATCAACACCATATCTCAAAAAAAAAAAAAAAAAAAAAAAG